GGCAGCACAGACATTTATTGTATCAAGATGAGCTATGAGAAAAGCAAAGGTTATTGTTGCTTTTGTTGGGTTTCTTCAAGAAGCTGACAGTGAGCAGGCATATAGGCCTAACCAATGGACACGGACAATGGGGGGGAGGGGAGGACATGACCGGGGGGGGGTAGAGGGTAACGTGGGGACAAGGACACATATGTAATATCTTAATCAATAAAAAATATATTTAAAAAAAAGAGAGACAGCAGTTCTTCACTTTCATTAATAAAATGTGCTAATAGCATCAGAACCTCAAAAAAAAAAAGTACTTAAGTCATGAGGAAGCATACAGTAAAGGAACCCACGCATCCAAAAGTGTAACTGGAGCAGCATATAAAGCTTGCACCATCATTAAAGAGATACATTGCTAAATTTCATTTAATATGTAAACAAAAATAAAACTGAAAAATATTATTATTAAATGAAGGATGTTAAACTTTTATGATTCTATTGGCATTGTATGAAAAATCTTAGTAGTCTCTGAGACTATAGCTTCTCATGTCATTCACATAAAATTTCAAAATTGAGAAATACATTGTAAATGACTTTTCTTAATATAAGTTCCTATATAAATATATAAAAAGAATTGCAGTGTACCCAATTAATAAGTAGATCAATAAAATGCAAAAAAGACAGAGCAATTACTATGTTATTAAAGAATATAAACCAAGAAAATTTTTCCAAAAACATGCATGTACTTGGGAACACTTAGGAAATATGATCAAGGACAATGAATGGAGTGTGAGCCTAAAGCAAATACTAGAAATATGAATGATATCTGAATTTACACAGTCTTTGAAACAACAGTAGATGGAGAAATTTTACTCAGCAAGTTTGGGGTCTTATCTCATACTAGGAGCCCAGCATGAAATCATGTGGCGCCACCCACCCTCCAGTCCAACCCTGTCTCCCTCCCCTGGCCCCACAGCAGCTGGGCTGCTGCTGGTCCCCTGCCTCCCTCTCCAGTCCTTAAAGCAGCTGTGGCTGCTGCTGATCAGGCCCTCCCCCAGCGCAGGTGCACGGAGGCCCCTGCCACCTCTTCCTCAATGCTGCGTGTGCAACCTCCTCATGTCCAGTTAGCCGTTATAGTGCCCCAGTCAATTAGCATATTTCTCTAATATATGTATATAATATATATGCTACTAACTTAATGAATGGACAGTTTCCAGAAAAAAATATAGAATGTAAACCATATACCCATAAGTCTCATCCACCTGGTCTTACAAACTTCACAATGAAACTCTGTCAAGATTCTGGGTGATAGAAGACAAATTTTACAGGGAAGTAACATAAAATGGAAAAAGTAGGAATGGGAAAGAATGGAAGGTAGGAAAACAGAAATGGAGAGGAGTTCATAAGCAAAACCACTGGTAGAGAAAAGTAGATGTCTAGGAGAGAGAAAGCCCACAAATGGCATGTAGATAAAAAACAAACAAACAAGGAAAAAATAGAGAATATTAAGAGACACCACGGAAGTGGTTATTTAAATGTCTTTGGAGTAAAAGATTAGCAGATAAATTTACCAATTCTTTTGCAGATATCATCTGAAAAATAAAATGGAAAAAATCCATATAAATATTATGAAACAGAAACACAAGGAAAATTTAAACTAGTGAAAAGTTCTCATGTAATAGTAAATGTACCAGGATGTACACACACACACACACACACACACACAAATAGTAAATGTACCAGGATGTACACACACACACACACACACACACACACACACACACACACCCCAAAGTAAATGAAAGCTACCTTTTGCCCTAAGAATATTGTTCAAAAATTAAAAGGAATGAATCTACTAAATTGAGAAAAATTGCAGGTATATAAGTTCCAGTAGTTACTTTATAAAAACATTTTGATCTCTTTTGACATTACTGAGGCATTTATTACTCATTTTCTTAGATTTAATGTAATTTTGTTGTTTGCTAAATATATATCATCAATTCTCATTGTGGCAGCTATGTTGCATAAAGTAATCACAAATGTGAATTAGCAAATACTGAATCGTGGCTTCCAGAAAAAAATAACACAGGATTTGGTTTTTGGTGCCTCTACTCACATTTTTGTCAAGCAATAAATATAAAACATTGTTTATTGTGAATTTCTATTTTAGCACATACCAAAAGGAGGTTCACTTTATCTTAATCTCTTTTCCAAAAAAAATGCAAACACCGACCAATACACAAGCGATTTACTTTAAAAAAGATGAAGGGGCAAAGAGAAAAGGCAGCCATTTGTCTAAACCTGTGCCTATAGCAGTAGTTATACGAACATTCCTACATGCATTAAAGAGATATTTTTTTAAATTCCATTCCCTCTGAAAACAAAAATAGAACCGGAAACATGTTATTAGAAAAAGAGGACATTAAACAATTTTTGTTGTTGTTAATCCTCATCCCAGCATATTTTTGGAGACAGTGAAAGAGAGGCAGGGAATGGAGGAGAGAGAGAGAGAGAAATATTGATGTGAGAGAGACACATAAACTGGTTGCCTCTGGCAGGCACCTTGGCCAGGGCCAGGGATTGAACCTGCAACCCAGGTACATGCCCTTGACTAGGAATCAAACCTGCTACCCTGAATGTGTGGCCAACATGCTAACCACTGAGAAACACCAGCCAGGACCAGGACATTATACTTTTAATGATTATATTGGTATTTTATTAAAATATCTTTTGGAAACATTGAAGGATAATACCTTTTTGTGTCACTCACATTAAAAATACAGAATTGAGCCAAGTCAGAATGACTCAGTTGGTTGAACTATATACTATGTACTGCCCGGTTGCTGGTTTGATTCCTGGTCAGGGTACATGCCTGGGTTGCTGGTTAAATCCCCTGTTGGGGCATGAAAGGAGGGCAAATGATCCATGTTTCTCTCTCACATAGATGCATCTTTCTCTCTATTTCTCTCCTTCCTTCTCTCTAAGCATGTACTCAAGGGAAGATTTTTTTTAAAAAAATTCAAAATAGATATATTATCACTAACATTTTCTTAAGATATAAACACTTTCTACAAATATTTACGATGAATTGCGGTTTGACAAGTTGATTATTGTGTCAATAAAATGTTTTAAATGAAGTCAAAATACGATTGTTAAAAATAAAATTTCAGGAAAAATCACATGAAATCTTTTTATACCTGGTAACACTTAAGTAATATATTCAGGGGCAAATGCCCCTCAAATTTACAGTTGACCAATGAATGATATCAGAGGTTAAAGAGACTTTTGAATGGGGAGAGGAATGTGGGAGAAGTCCATAAGCAAAGTTTTGAACTACAATACTAGACATTTAGAAGAAGTGTGAATCTTCCATCCTCCCTCAAAGTTTGCATTAAATGATCCTTTGAACTTGGAAAAAAAAAAGGCAGAGGTCCTAATTTAATGGATATTTTACAGACAGTATAATAGAGTGGAAATCATGTGCCTGTTAGCCTATTTCCTTCACCTCACAAGATTTATAGTGGAAAATATGGCTAGTCTCTGGAAAGCAGAAGAAATCAAAGTTCATAGAGAAAGACAGATATGAGATGGAAAAAGAAGAATTAGAAAGATAGGAAGTTATGAAAACTAAATAGAGGGAAATTCAAATGTGATAATTATATCAACAAAATAATTGAGGAAGGAGCAGTAGACTTAAAAAAAAAGAAAAGGTGAGCCAATGAATGCCATATAGGGAAAAAGGCATCAAGTAAACAGTTTGTTAGGGTATGGGAATTAAATTAATTAATTTACCAAATTGTTCCTGAAGATTGTCTGAAAAATAACAGTAAAAGAAATTGTAAATATTGTGGGGAAAAATTGTGAATAAAAATCAATTTATTGTAAAGTACTCATGCAAAATTAAACTTTGGCAAATGCAGATGAACACACAACACACATACATAGAAACAGTGGCTGAAAGCTTTCATTTGCTCAGAAACTATGGTTTCAAATTTTAAGCGAGAAAACATCTGCATATAGCGAATTCAGAAGAAAATAAGATTGAGGAATAAAGTTCTGTTAGTTACCTTATAAAATATGCCTATATTTTTGACATTTTTATAACTTTTTTTTTGGTTTGTTAGTTTTACCAAGATCTTTGGTACTACATATAATATAGGATGAGGCAAAAGTAAATTTACAGTTTTTCATTAAATAAAACAATAATTAATAAATAAATAATAATACAAGAATAAATTCTGTTTTGTGTATTCACAACTTTAACCTACCTTTGACTCTGCTTGTACTCATGTCTTATGTTTGCAATAGCCATGATGCATATTATAGTTGAAAAAAATATTAATTTGTATAATACTGAACCAGTTTTTCTAGAGAAAATCTGGCTTAGGTTAGTAGACATCTAGGAGAAGTGAAAAGCAATGAATAGCATATCAATACAAAGGCAAGAAATGTTAGAGACATTAAGAAAACAGTAATTTTAAATTGTTTGATAGGAAAGGGATGTCAGGACCAATTTACCAAAGTTCTTCTGAAGTTTGTCTGAAAAATGAAATGGAAAGAAATTCTAAATATTGTGGGAAGCAAATGTGAATACAATTCAAATTTATTATAAAAACACTCATACAAAATTAAGCTTGTCACCTTGCAGATAAACACACAACACACACAAAGGAACAGTGGCTGC